CAGTAACTGCAGGATGGCAACTGCACACCAACCTCCCAAAACAGCAGACAGGACCACCTGGCCACACACCCAACATCATTGGTCTGTGCAGCCCTTAGTCCTGACAGCACAACACATGGAGAGGGTCCCTCTGCTGCCCAAGGGACTTACATCCAGGTGTCTCTGGTTGATCTCATAGATGATCTGCAGGTGTCTGGGAAGCAGTTTCTCCACCAGGTCCACTGGCCAGCGCTCCAGGGCTTCGGGAAGCACTGTGTGGTTGGTGTAGGCGAAGGTCCGCTTGGTGATGTCCCAGGCCTGCCAGGGGAGAGCTGGTGCTGAGCAGCGAGGCTGGGTGCCAGCACCCATGCACGGTCCTCCCACCATGGTCAGCAGCACTGCCAAGCCGACTCCTCCAAGTCCATACCTATTAAACCCATCCTGACCACTCCACATCACTCCCCAGGCCACCAGCAGCTACAAAACTGGTTCCCCGGCTCCTCCACCATGGGCTGGCGGGAAGGCGAGCGCAAGCGGAGGGGACCAGCGGCCAAGTCAGGTCTCTCTACCTTGTTCCACGGCAGCTTCTCGATGTCCACGAGAATCCGCATCAGCTCAGGGATGGCCATGGCAGGGTGCGTGTCGTTCAGCTGGATGGCAACCTGTGGGGAGAGCGGCGCTGGCATGTGGGGATGCGTGGGGGACATGTGGGCATCCCACTGCCCATCAGCTGGGCACAGGTACCCAGAGAGGGTCCGCAAAACATCTCTAGGCCTGGGGGCCACGTGAGAGGTGCTGAAATGAGCTCCAAGGTACATGTCAGAGCAACGTGGGCTTGTACCTGGTCAGGGAAGGAATCAAACACGATTCGGACACTGTCTGTGCTCCCAAACTTGGATGCTTTGAAGCGGCGTATGATGTCCTGGAGGGTGGCAGCCACGACGAAGTACTCCTGCTTCAGCCGCAGCTCCTTCCCTTCGAAGAACTGCGAGCAGAGGAGCAGGCACTGAAGCACTGCAGCACGCTGCCCAGGCAGTGCCTGTGCTGTGGGAGCTGGGCCTCCCTGGGCCTCCCTGCACGAGGGACCCGCACCGGCACACATGCACCACACAGCTCGGTGTGAGGCCCCACCGCTTTTCCTACGCTGGTTCTGGCAGCAGCTCTAACCCCAGCGTCTCCCCGTGCTTTCCAGATCGCAGCACAGGGGTGTGAGATGTGCCTGCCACTGCAAACAGGTTGAGTCCCTCCCGACATCGTCAAAACCTGTTCTCCCTGGCTTGAAAATTCTGGCCGCAAGGAAAGGTACTGGGGAGACAGGGAAGGGAAGCTGCAGGGGCTGTAAGACCAAAGAGCTAATTCTGAGACAAGAATTAAAGCCGCTGTTCGCACAGCACAAAACACCAACCGGCTGGTGTGCAAAACAGAATCCGTAAGAGGCAAGCTCACCGCTGGAGCTGTGGTACCCCCAGCTCTCCTTGACAGCTGGGAAGGCTGGGCTAGGGTTAAATGGGAAAAAACACGTCAAGGCTTGTCCAAAACAGACTGCAGAGTGCGGAGAGCTGCCCTTCAGCTTCTTCCCCTGTGCCTGCAAGCAGGACATTCTCATCCCCTACTCCCTTTTACCACACTGAGCACAGATTTGCCCAGGAGCAGTCGTCTCTACTGCAGCCCTGGTGAGACGCAGCAATCCCCACCCAAGCACTACAGGCAGCTTGAAACACAACTGAAAGCATCTCTGCAATGTCTCGGGGTTGCTCCACTTCACACTCTGTCTGGGTGCTCTTTATCCATCGCTAAACCAGGGACGCTCTCCCCCCTGCATTGTGACTTACATTGTCATTGGGGTAGAGGACACGGGATATGTTCTCCGCCAGATTTCTGTCCAGCACAGCCTGGATGTAGTCTCCGACGTTGACTGTGGAGGAGCAGAGGGATAAGGTGGGCACGGGACCCCCCTCCACCCCATCCCGCTGGCACCCCACCAGCAGCCACTTACAGTCACGCAGGTTGAAGTCGTTGGGTGCTCGAGCCGACCACAGGCGCATGGTGTTGACGGTGTTGTTCAAGTACCCGGGCACGGGGGTATCGTAGGGCAGTGCCAGCACCACCTACAACATCAGCAGGGCAGCTGGGGCTGGGCTGTGCCCCTGGCTGGTGTCCCTCCAGGTCTCCCCTGCCCCACCTGAGCCTTCCCATCCCACAGACCCTCCTCCAGGACTGAGCTCAGGGCTGCATCCATCTTCGTGGTGGGGACATGCTTTGCACCCACAGCCCCTGCCATTGGGACGTCCCGGCTCCCTCAGGTCTGCCCAGTGCCTGGTGTTTGCCAGAAGCACTCAGGGGACGGAGAAAGGCTTGCGAGGGCCAGAAGCAGCTTAATTCAAGCCATCGTACCGTGCTGTGCATTGCACACAGACCTGCTGGAGGTGCTTTTGGCTGCAGATGTGGAGCACCAAAACCTGTCCCCATCCCTAATGTCCATCTCCTCCCCACTTTGCTTCACCACCGCCTTTTCCACCCCAGCAAAGCACCTTCACCAACGCAACCCTCCCCAGCAGGGATGCTGCAGGACCCATGCCAGGGGTGCAGCCCCCCAGGCACAAGCCATGCAAGGGAGTCCCCGCAGGCTGGCCCCCACGAGGCTGTGCCCCAGCCCGTACCTGGGTGTCGACCCACTTGGCGCCAGTGGCAGTGTGCTCCACGCGGCCGTAGAAGTGCACGGGCAGCATGTACTCGGGACGCGCTTTCTCCCAGGGGTTGCCGTGCCGGAGCCAGTCGTCAGCTTCTTCCACCTGCCGGAGGCAGCGGGAGCTATGGTGGGGGCACCCAGCCCCAGGGCCCTCCCCAGGCTGTGCCACGTGCGGGGCCGGGAAAGGCTCTGGCTGCACCAAGGGGATGAGGCTTTGGGGACCGTCTGCCCTAAACCTGAATCCTGGTGCCACAGGGTGAGCCTGGAGTCTCTGCCCCAACCACCCTGAACCCCAGGGTCTCCCTGCCAGAGGGGTGAAGGATGGGGATGAGGAGGTGGGGACAAAATGAATGTTCTCAGGGCACCGCTAACACTGCCGTGCTGTGGCCAAGATGCCACCAGCCCCTTAGTGTCAGTGTCAGCCTGCAGGCCAGCTAATGAAGAGGACTTGTTTCCTGCCCCAGCAGTGCTGGGGAGAGCCCAGGGTAGAGATCACCTTTGGCATGGCCAGGTCAGAGCTCCGGGCAGCAGGGACATTGTGTGAGGGCCAGGGGAGATAAGCCACATCAGGACGTAGCAGCCAGGGAATGCTGTGCCAAGGAGGAAAGGCCTCCACTTGCTGGACAGCTTTTGGGAGCGCTCACGGGGCCCTCTGGGCACTCGGGGCTGCCTCCCGCCAGGGGTGTTGCAGATGCACACCGCATTTTCCACTGCATTTCCTAAACAGCCTCTTTCACCCTCTGATGCTTTAAAGCAGACATCAGGCAGCACAGCAGGGCTCGGGGGCTGCATCTGGCCTCCACCAGACCTCCCCACACCATCCCTGTACAACCTCAGTGAAACCATCCTCACCCCGTGAACAGCACGGACGTGACCTCTCCATCCCTGTTTGCACCAGTTTAAGACGTTAAACTTGCTCGAAAAACACACGACAAGTTTTAAACACCACAGCACCGGCAGCTCCTGCAGTCTCCAAGCTAAGAGAGTGTCTGTGCACCCTGATCTCAACCTGATCTAAGGGGGAGGCCAGATTCAGGGCTTTGGCTGTGCTGGGGGAAGGCGAGGGCCACGCGCCTCCACCCGTACCTGCCACCCGTCCCTGATCTTCTGGTTGAAGATGCCGTACTCGTAGCGGATGCCGTAGCCGTAGGCTGCCAGCCCCAGCGTTGCCATCGAGTCGAGGAAGCAGGCTGCCGGGGAGAGAGGAGAGCACCGAGGGGCACTTCCCCTGGGAGACAGTGGGACCTTCTCCCATGGAGAGCAATGGCCAGAAGCAGGAGCCCCCCAGGGATACGAGCCCGGGCCAGCAGCGGCTGCTCCCTGCCCAGCCACCCAACACCTCTCACCCCATGCTGGACAGGCTGGGGCAATAAACCCCTATCCCCTGGTTCAGGTACCCCCTGCAGAGGATGCAAAGGCCCTGGGGCTGTGCCCCCCCCCCCCCCCCCCCCAGCAATGAGACCATTTGGGGGCTTACTCACCAGCAAGCCTGCCCAGACCACCATTGCCGAGACCAGCATCCTCCTCGATTTCCTCCAGCTCTTCCATGTCCAGCCCAAGCTACAGAGGAGAAGGTGATGGGGCAGACACACTCAGCGCCCGGCCCCATGGAGCGGATGCACTGCTGGCATGCGCCCCTGGGTGCTATTCTGCACCCACTGCTGCCCTCCCTCTTAGGGTGGCCTCCAGGAGGGGTGGAAAGACACCCAACCCTGCAAGACCCATCCCTGCAGGTGGGACACTGTGATTTGCATCCAGAGCAGCCGCCCTCCCGCTCCAGGGCTGTTCACGCTGTGGCAGGGACCAGCTCTGGTGTTTGAAGTCCCTCCACCAGCCTTTACAAGGGACGCACACACCAGTGACCTTGCCATGGACAAGCTCCTTGCGCCCGGGGGCTTGTCCGTGCCATAACAAGACCAGAGCCATAACCAGGGTGCTGGTCCCAGGTCTTTCAGGCAGCTCTCCCGGGGCTCATTCCCAGCCCTGTTCCCTCTCCCTATGCCCCAGCACCACGGCTGCAGCCCCGCAGGGGCAGTGCTGTGTTCCTGCTCCCCCAGCACCCCCTCTGGGGCAGCCACACATGTGCATCACTGCCCTCTGGCACAGTAACCCAGGTGCCCATCCCCATGGCCCGAGGCATCACCCTTTAACAGAGGTACCCAGAGAAGCAACCACACCACTTTCACAGGGAAATCTCAAGGTTGCAGTCGGCGATGCTGTGGGAGGAAGGGGTTCTGCCTATGCAAAGCACCTCGGGCAGCTGAGCAGGAAATCGGACGGTGCCTTGTCAGTGCTGAGCCACCTTTTCCCATGGAAACCCCTTGGTCTGCATCTCCCCTGATGTCCCACGGTCACAGCAGGTAGGGACAGCCCCAGTGCCACGGCCACCCATGCAGAAGAGCCAGACCCTGCACTGCTCACAGGTAAGAGACAGTACCTTCTCCCAGCCCTGCATTGCACCGGCAGCCCTCAGTGCCCACACAAACATTTCAAGTGATTTCTGTGCTACCAAACATTTATTTTAGAAACTTTTGGCATTTGTGTCCGGGCAGCTCAGCACATGCACTAAGGAAGGTTCTGCCCAGAGCTTCACCTGCCATCGACTACAAAGAGGGTGATTTCCAATCAACCTCACGCCTTCTGCTTCCCCAGGCTATACCACCTTGCAGCATCCCAGGCTCTTCCCCTCACCCCCACCCCCAGCTCAGCTGCCAAGATCAACAGGTAAGAGATAAAAAGCCTAAAATAAATTCCTCTCCCTTGGTCATGTTTGCACAAAAGCTGCTCCCGCTGCTGTGCAGACACCCCAGTTGCACATGACACGCATCGGACACGCTGGTCCAAGTGGTGAAAGGCAGGGGGAAAAGGAGCCACCCGAAAACCTTTGACAAGCCAAGTGCCACATGGTGCCAGCCCCAGGCTGGGGCTGAATTAGGCTCCTCTGCTATCGATTATGGCTGCTAAGGGCCTCATGCATAGAACCACGAGTTTCCTGGCAGTTTATGGGCTCAGCAGAGCTGTACTGCATCCCTCAGCACACAGCCCTGGGGCTGGGCAGCCCTGCTCAGGCTGCAAGTGCTGGCTGCAGCCCTGGGCCTTGTGAAAGCAGGTCCTGGAGCAGCATTCATGCACTAAGGCATCACCTGCTGCTCACGGAGCAGTTTGCAAACAGCGTGGTAAAACAGGGACATCTCCAGGATCCAGAGAGCACGGAGCCCTCCTGCCCCAGGGCCTCACTGCCTGGGATGCTCACCTGGTAGATGGCTTCGTCGCAGGCATTCTGCAGCCCCAGGTTAATCATGGTGTTCTGCAGCGTCCGCCCCATGTAAAACTCCAGGGAGAGGTAGTAAATCCTCTGAAAGAGAAAACCAGCCCAGGTCACCTTCCCCAGGCCTGGAGGAGGCTCCCCTGCACCGCAGGAGCTGCTATTGGGGAGTAATCTCAAAGCAAGAGGAGAACCCTGGCTGTCAACAGGGCAGGGGTCTTTGCACCAGGAACTTGAGGGCTGGGGCTTCTTGGAGGCCCCGAGGCATCCGTGCTGCAGCCCCTGCCCTGCTCTCCTGCCCCTGCTGTTTCCCAAGCCAGGAAGACGGCAGTGCCCAGGTGGTTTGTCAGGACAAGCTGCGGTGCCCGGTCCAAGAGCAAGGACAGCTCCATGATGGTCGGCCTGAGCATGCCGGGGACTGCAGTGGTACAAAGGTAACCTTTAAAGAGGAAACATTACCCAGTGTCCCCATGAGCTGCAAAGCAACCGGAAAAACAAGGGAGCCACTGGGAACAGAGGTGTGTGGCAGCCACAGGGTCACCGGCTTCCCCTGCTGCCCCCTTGGGTTTGCTCTCGTCTCCCCTCTTGCTGACACAACGGGTGCAGGATGTGGCCAGGAAGGTGGCAGCTTGTGTAAGCTGTCGCCTGTGTCAGCACCAGCAGGTTTTAAGGAAGGATTTAAGGCTGGAGGAAGTGGCTGACTTGACAGCTTTCCCCAGGACCTGCACAGGGCCGGGCTGGGGATGGTGATGAGAGAAGAGAAGGTTCAGGGGAGACCTTAGAGCAGCCTTCCAGTACCTAAAGGGGTCTGACAAGAAAGCTGAAGCAAGGGCATGTACGGACAAGACAAGGGGCAATGGCTTTAAACTAACAGAGGGGAGATTTAGAGCAGATTTTAGGCAGAAGTTCTTCCCTGTGAGGGTGGTGAGGCGCTGGCACAGGTCGCCCGGAGAAGCTGTGGCTGCCTCATCCTTGACAGTGTTCAAGGCCAGGTTGGACGGACCTTGGAGCAACCTGGTCGAGTGGAAGGTGTCCCTGCCTGTGGCAGGGGGTTGGAACTGGATGATCTTTAAGGTCCCTTCCAACCCAAACCATTCTGTGACTGCACGCTGGGCAGCATGGGCTGGGTTTACTGGCTTGATCCCAGCAGAGCTGGAAGACATGATGCGGGGTGGAGGGCACTCAGCGTGGCTCAGCTGTACGGGAGAGTCCCCACACTGAAGCCCTGGAAGGGGCTTATCTTTCTCTCACCCCTACAGGACATGGCAGGGATCTGAGCTATCAGGGGCCGGCACAAGCCCAGCGAGGTGCTGACGGGGCCGCCCTCCCAGGAAGGAAATCGGAGTCGACAGAGCCATCCAGGTTGCAGGACAGGATTACTGCTTAATCCCCAAGCAGCCAGAGCCCTGTGCTCGGTGGGTGCAAGCCAGCTCACACGAGCAGGAACTCCTGCACAAAACCAGATCTATCTTGCTTGGGATCCCCGCAGCACAGATCAGGCTTGTGCCTCTTTCGGACAAGATCTGCTTGCAGCTGGCTTCGTCTAAGCCCTTCAAGTAATTCGCCCTAGAAGGCTTTGCAGCTGCGTTTGGGAGAGCTCACCCACGCCAGCACTGTGGGGCAACAAACGCTGTTCCCATGCCCTGCACCCAGCTCCCAGCCAAGCTGCGCTCTCTTTGTTTTGCAAAGCAAAGGACAGCGGCCTCCTCCTTGTTAAAGTCCAGTCCCTCTGCTCTGCAGCGCTAAGGGGAATATCCCCAGACCAAAGGAAAACCGAGCCCCCCCCTTCCTATATTCTTCTGGCAAGTTCACAGAGGGACGCTTTGCACGCAAGGGGTTACAACGCTTGTCGGAATTCTCACACTCCCACACTGCAGGACCCCCCTTGGGAAAACGGGGGGGGGTCCCGGGGCTCCCTCGCCCCCCCGCCCTGCAAAGAGAGGTCCCGCCCAGCATCCCCTCGCTCCCACCTTGGGGTCCTTCTCGTAGTAGTACTGCTGCGTGCGGATCCAGCGCCCCACCAGGTGGTCCCGCACGGTGTGGGCCAGGGCGAAGTAGTAGTCGCGGGGGGTGGCCACGTTGCGGTCCTTGACCAGGGTGAAGTGGAGGTGCCGGTTGAAGCCCCGCTTCAGTTCGGCCACGCTCTCGGCTCCCACGATCCCGCGGATGCTGATCTGCTTCCGCCGCTCCTGGTCCGACAGCGGCCGCGACATCCCGCCGGGGCTGCGGGGGACGCACACGGGAGACACCGCCGCGGCGGGGCTGGGCACGGGCTCCAGGTTTGGGTTCCGCCTCCGCCCCGGGCTGGCACCGCCCCGGGGAGGGCACCGCCACCGGCAGCGGCAGCGGGACAGGGACGGGGAGGGGCCGCCGCCACGGGCCGCCCCTGCTGGGGCGGGAGCAGCGCAAACTGAGGGGTCCCGGGGACCGCCACCCCTGGGGGGGGCACAGAGGGGAGTGCAACGGGAGGGGGCAGGGAGCCGGGGAACGAGCGGAACCCGCAGCAGCACCGGGTGGTGCCGTGCGGTCCGGTCCTGGTTCTCACCGGGGCGGCGGCGGGGACTCCACCCGGTGCTCCTGAGCTCGTCCAAGGCCCTTCCCGCCGGGGTCCGGGGCAGACCCGCTCTGCCGGCCCAGAGGGACGGTGCCGCGGTCCCACCCGTGCCCAGCAGCCTCCTCCCGGCGCCTCCTCACTGGTCCCTGCGCTCCGGAATCCCTGTGGGAGGGGCGCGGGATCTCCTCCGGTCGGCCTCGGGTCCTTCACAGCCGCCTCCCCGGGCAGGCTCCGTGGCTGTCTGCCCTGCCCTGCCCTGCCTTCGGAGCCCGGCCCTGCCTCCTGGTTCCTCCTGAGGGCAAGAATAGCTGACCTGAGCATGCAGCGCAACACCTCTTCCTCTTCCTCCAGCCGTGCCTGCGCAGGCCTTCCAGCGCTGGCTGTTTTCGCTGCCCAGTTCTGCACAGCGGAGCCCACACGCAGCCGAAGAGCATCACAACCCAACCGCTGCCCTGGGCCACCCCTGCTCCTGGGCTTACCCAACCACCCGACCGATACGCTGGCCAGGTCCAAGCAGGACCAGGCTCCACACTGAGCCGGGTCGTGGCAAAGGGCTGCAGCAGCTCACCAAAACTTCAGGAACCGGCCCAAAGCGCACACGTGCAACATGGGCAAAAGGGAATGTGCCCCATCTTCCTGATTCTTCACAGGGCAGATTGAAGGATTGCTGTTCAGGTGGAAGCCTGGGCACGGTTTCCTCGCCAGTTGGCAGCAGACAGGGGCTGGGTGCCTGCAGCAGGTATTTCCTGGCCAGGACCTGCCCTCCAGTGCAGGTGGGAATTGCAGCCATGCGAGTGGTGCCTGCAGAGTGCTCCAAGAGCTGCCAGGCGAGGGGCAGAACCCTGGGTGGGTTTGGGCAGCCTGGGACATCCAGCGCTGCTCTCCTGGATAGCGGGAGCTGGGCTGCACCCGGCGCGGGGTGGTGTCCGCTGGCCCTGGGCTGTGCCCAGAGTTCCAGGCTGGGTTTTACAGGCTGCAGGGAGGCTGCAGTTTACCGTATCTCCGGTGTTCTGGGTATGCTCCCTCTTGGGAAGGACAAGCATTGTTCTGAGACATGAAGGCACTTAATGCAATGATTAGCACGTTTTTCTTTAGCCCTGGACCTGAGCCCATGATGAGCTCAGAGGCCTCACATTGAAAAACCTCTCCATAGGCATTGTGAGAAAACGTGGAGCAGGCACCAATTTCCCATCAGAGAGTGCTAAGAGAACTGTCCAGGACTTTCCTTCGGACGTGGCCCCAACAGCACTCATACCTCAGCGTTTCCCCCTGCTTATGGAAGAAAGACCCTCCCGAGGGATTCCATGTGCTGGTGCTTCACCACAGCAGTGCTGGGCTCTTTCAGGCCTGGGCATCTCGTGATCTCAACCGTTTTCTCTCTCTTCTCCACCTGGTGCTTGCTACCTCCTCTCCCTCTGGGTGGGTCTGGGGCAAGGGCTGGTGTTGGGGTGGTTGCACTGGGTTGGGCGCTGCAGCTTGCTCCCTGAAGAGATGCTGCTCCGTACTCAGCCCATGTAATTCCTCCCTCCCTCCCGCCACATGCCATCCCTCATCCCTCCTTCTTACATCCTGGCTCCTCTGCACCCAGGGCCATTCCTTGGCACCCCAGACCCCCTTGTCGATGGGCTGCAGGTGGAGTGGGGAGTCCTGTGCTGCTTGACTTGGTCAGCTCAGTGCTTTCAGGCAGGAGAATGGCTCAATGATTTGAGAGGCCAGTGATGTTCCCCTTCACTGCACAAAGCCGTGTGCCATCATCTGGAGCAGCCCTCTCTTACCCCTGCAGCAGGAACACCACTGCTGCATGAAAGCCCCTTCCTGCTGCTGGTGGGATGAGAGAAGGCTGGAGTTCTTGGGAATTGTCCTGGCCTTGCCAGGATCACTGTGCTGAGCCAGGGTCTCCTCATGCCTATCCTCCTGCCCCCTTCTCTCTCCAGATCCCACTTGTGTCACCTCTCTTCTGCCCCAGCTTTGCTTTGGATCCTGCTCAATCGAAGCTCTTTTCTGAGCTTCCCTTTGTGTAATACAAGGCCTGCTACACTCAGATTTTAAACACCTCTCTGCAGGATGCCTCTCTCTGTAGCTCTCCAAAGCACATCTTCTGTAAAGGAAAGGGGTGAGGGACAAGTTCTGGCACTGTCCAAGGCTCCTGACACAACCTTTCCCCTCCCATCGGTGCTGGCTTTCCTTTCCTGCAGCGATTGCTTAGGTACTGGAGGACCAGCAGAGCAGTTCCTTGTATTGCAATGCTAAGCTTAGGTGTGCTAGATGGGCCCCATGCGTGCGTGTGAGCAGTGTCCGAGCGCGCTGGGCTGGAGCTGTTGCAATGCCTTACCCTCAGATGTCTGGAGGACCAGGGTCTTGCTGTATGGGCTGACTCCTGTTTTGTTGAAGGCTTTGACACGTGCGCTGTACGTGCTGTTGAAGTGAAGCCCATCCACCGTGCACATGGTCTCCTTGCCCACATACACCTCCTGCAAAGCAAGCACAATCAGTGCCCTGACCACGGAGGCCCAGGGGTGTGAGAGCAGCTCCCCGCAGTTGTGATGCACAGGGTTCAACTATGCTCTGCTACCTGGGCCAGACTTACAAGCAGAGCAAAATAACCCTCTGATTTGTTCCTTGATAATACTTTGGGCTGCATTAAAAGAAGGGTGGCCAGCAGGTCGAGGGAGGTGACTCTCCTCCTCTGCTCCACTCTGGTGAGACCCCAGCTGCAGTACTGTGTTCAGCTCTGGGGCCCCTGACACAAGAACATGGACCTCTTTGTGCTGGTGTAGGAGGCCATGAAGATGCTCTGAGGGCTGGAGAATCGACCTGCTCTTGGCAGGAACTGCCTCCTGTACAACAGTCATCACTCCCAGCTTGCTTAGCAAATTGCTGCCTGACTTGGTCAGCTCAATGCCTTCAGGCTCAATGATTTGAGAAGCCAGAGACGTTCCCCTTCGTGGCACCAGCTGTGTGGCATCATTGGCTAGAGCAGCCCTCTCCTACCCCAGCAGCAGGAACACCACGCACATGCAAGCCCCTTCCTGCTGCTGGTGGGATGAGAGAAGGCTGGAGTGCTTTGACACGTGCGCTGTACGTGCTGTTGGCACCTTGGCACCCCAGACCCCCTTGCCGATGGGCTGCAGGTGGAGTGGTAAGGCCCGTGTTGCTGCCCCCTCCCCTCTTTCGTTGAGCTCAGCACTCACATTGGGAATGTGGAATTGTCACTGCTCCTCATGCACACAAAGAAGGGAGGCAGGAGTGTGCTCGGGATGGGAAAGGGTCAGGAAAAGACTGAGTGGGATGTGAGACTGCTGGATTTGGTGTTCATGGCTATGCTTGGGTTGGCTCCCCTAGAGCCCTGCAGGCATAACATAAGATTTGCAATGACCCTTCTCCCTCCTGGGGCATCTCCTGCTCATGGGATGGGAAAGTTCCCATCCTCCCTGCTCTGCAGGTGCTGGTGCCTTGCCGGCTGTGTCACATCTGTAGGTAGAGAGTGCTGGGGTGCTGCCTGTGCCAGCAGCATAAGCTGCCTGCACCCCTTGGTCATGTTGTGCTGCTGCTGCAGCGCTGGGTTTCACCTGGCTTCTGTACCCCCCTCACGGCCATGAACCAAGTTCTGTCCATTCTCTGCTGCTGTCTCCCAGCAGGGACAGGGAGCGATGTGCAGTGTATTGCACTGACCTGCACTGGGGTGGGATGAGATGGGAACCAAAGCAGAGGCTCTGGTGGCGCAGTGATGCTCTGGGAAGCTGTGCCCTTCTCTCATAAAAGTCCTTTATTAGAACAGCAAACATGACACTTCAGTACAGCGGCTGTATGCAGCTATCATCGCAGTACGGGGGGACAACGTCTTACAATCACTGGGAGTCTAATAAGCACCATGAACATCCTAAAGAACAGGGGATAACGGCTGAGAGAGGAGCCCCGGGTGAGCCGGCCACGGGGGCTCATCAGTTATTCACCAAAGAGCTGCTCGGCGTTGCCCCGCAACACGGCTCTCCTGCAGCTGAGAGAAGCTCCTCGGTGTAAGTCAACAAGATAGCACCCATCCAATAAATTAGGTAAACTTAAAACTAGAGCAACAAAGGAACGAATGGGACCATCCTAGAGGAGGGCATGCTGGAAGGGAATGGTCTATTTACACTTGTCTTCCTGCTGGACCAGTACTCCCGAAGCATCCCACCTGATCCCGCATCTGGAGCTGCAGCTCTCCAGTCAGGCTGGGTAGGCTGGTACCTGCCTGGCAGCTGCCTCCCCAGCTCCGCACCACACCGGGACATGGCGAGTGACCGAATAGTGAAGCGTGGGGCCATGCGCATGCAGGCACCCTCAGCACGGGGACACAGCTGGCACCAGGCATGGCACCCACAGCTCTGACTCCTTTCCTGCCTCTGAATTACCAGAAAGTCCCTACCAGGGTAGGCCGATGGGAGCTGCTGCCAGCAGCAGGCGCAGGCAGGGCAGCGGGTGCGTATTCCTGAGTGCGTGGCAGGGCTGTGGCCAGCTCTCCTTCCTCCCCATCCCCATCCTCATCCCCATCCCCGGGCTCCCCATCAGACCCTCCCTGCAGAATGCATTCTCCGGTGAACAGAAGGACACTGTCAGGATTTTAAGGCTAGGCTTTATATGGCAACTATAAAAAAATAAACACTAATCTCCAAAGAGCCGGGCAGGGGCTCTCTGGTCTATGGCTGTGGTGTGCAGGCTGACGCCGGGCTGTGGGGAGCTGGGGGAGACCCTGACAGCACGCAGAGCACCCAGGGACAGGGCAGCCACTCCCTGCCCCACTGCTGCGCCCCATGGAAATGCCTCTTGGGGACAAGGGCCAGGGCCAGGTGTTTTCGCAAGGACACAGAGACTGACTGGTAATCCAGGACCCACCTCTACACGTGACTGAGGGTGCCCTGCAAGAAAGGCCACAGGGGAAAGAAATATCCTGCAAAGTATTGGGGCTGGTGTGGGCAAAAACTTCCCCGTGGTGGGGGCCCCTCTCTGGTCCCTCCATCCAGCCCCATGGGAGGGGAAAGCGCTTTGCCAAATGAGACGAAACTGCCCCCCTCGAGAGCCCAACTCAAATCAATGAAACCAAATCTAAAAGCGGACGCAGAGGAACATCTCAGGCTACTTAGGTACTTCATCAGCCAAAAGAGCTAAACAGCGAAGCGCACACACACAGGACAGCGCAGGAGGATGGAGATCAGAGGCGGCCAAAAGCTGGGTTCTTCCTTCCCGCTTTGCCTCCCTGTCTCCGGCTGGCGGCAGAGCAGGGACCCGGCAGCTCCGCAGCGGCCTTGTCCCGCAGGAGGGAACAGGCTGGCTCCTCATCCTGAGAAGAGGCAGCCGGCTCCAGGAGCATCCTCATGGCATGGCGGAGCGCGAAGTGTAGAACTCAGGGACCGGCAGGCCGGTGTGCAGCGTCACCTGCAGAGACACAAGGCTCAGCTGAGTCCCTCCGTGCTTGGCAGGACAGCTCAGGGCTGGCACACTGTCCCCAGGGAGGGCAGGAGCAGCACCCAGGCAGAGGCAGATGCAGCCAGAGATGTGGGGAGCCCACTGCTCCTCCTGCCCCACTGCACATCCTCCCCGCGGCAGTGGGGGCCTGGGGTAGGGTAGGAGAGGCTGTCCCCAGAACTGCAGCGGTGGCTCCATCTCGCGGTTACGTGGCTTGCCAGCACTGCTGGGTCCCTGTGAGGTGGGATGCTGGTACCAGCGGTACCAAGCCCCAGATATCCTGAGCTGGCTGCAGACAAATCCAGCAGTTGGCTGCCAGAGAGGTGGGACATGGCAGCAGTTGGATCCTTCCGCAGATGGGATGGACAAAAGGGGATGGAAGGGCCTGAAGGACCCTGAGCCGCTCAGTACAGAAGGAGACCTCCAGGAAGCCCCTGAGCTGAGCGTGTGCCATACAGCAGACGGGACATGGCCAATTCCTGGTGCGAGGAAGCTGAGCAGCAGCAGGGTGCTGGGGCAGGGCCATGCTATGGCATGGGGAGATGCTCAAGCACAACCTTTAACGGTCCCTTCCAACCCAAACCGTTTGCTGAGTCTATGAAAATCGAGCTAGGCACTCGGCCCGGCATCATCTGGGGGTGGGAAGTGATGCAGCAGAGACTGCGACACAGGGATAAAGGGAAAGGGAGAATAATGGAGAACTGATACTCAGGGTGTCTAGGAAAACCTTGGTCTGTAAGGGATATGGGCAGGCTCTTCTTGTGCAGACTGACTGGGTGAGGGGCCAGTCCTGCAAATACTCACACAGGCACCAATGAGCTGTGCATGGGTAATTCAGTTCCCTCTGCAAATACTTTGGTTTGGGATGAAAGCACAATTCCTTCTGTTATTGGAACAGCAGCATTTTCCCCTTCAGACAGTTATAGAAAACTTTGTCTAAAGCAATTATTTCCCTCCTAATTACAGTTAATTATTCATAAACCTTTGAAGAAGGATAATGAGTGACTTGGGTTTATTAGCAGCCTTTTATCAGTATCCCATGGGATTTCTCTGTTATCAGGGGATTTAAGCTCTGCCTTGCCCAGAGAACTGTCAGAAAGCAGAGGGGCTCCAGGAATGTCCTTATCTGTTAGGGCTGTGTAGAGGATTTTTGTAGGAATTAAACCCACAACAAAGTGGGATGTTTCTACCACACCAAATTAATACCGTAACCTCTAAGACCAGCTCAGACAAGATGGTCTTCTTTAATGTCTCCTGATTAAACACCAGCTCATCCCCAGTATGTTGCACATTGGCCAGCCCTTCCCCAAGCTGGCAGCCTCCCTGCCTGCAAGGCTCCTGGGGTGGGAATTTCTGGCAGGGGTGCTTGCAGAGTTTGGAGTGGTAACGACCAACCCCTGCTCCAGTGCTGCTGGAAAACTGTTAGTGCCTTGGTGGCAGCAATGGTATGCCTGATACCCTGAATAGAGCATGCCCTGATCCAGAATCCTAACTCAGAGAAGCCACTCGGGGCCTCTGCCCTTGTACAGAGATGGTGCCTTTGACATCCACTGCGGAAGACTATGCCAAACTGCTCAACACCCCGAGGTCATCTGTCATGTGCAATGTGTCCTAGGATGTGCTTGGGCACTTGCGCAGTGCTGGAGGTACAAGCAGTGGTAGGTGGATGTGCCAAAGCCAGGCTCAGTGATCGTGGAAGACTCAGTGTGGGGGGATGATAGCAGGGATGTGATCAGTGAGAAGAAAAATGAAAGATGAAAATACCGGATAGGCCCAGGGAGCCACCACTTGGTGATGTTCAGGATAGCTGATAGCTTGGGAAAAAGAGAAGAGGGGTTTGAAACTCCCCGGAGGGAAAAAGGTTTTAAAAGGTGCCCTTCTTCCTGGGGAAGAAGGAAGGAGGAAGACTCTCCCGACTGGAGAGTCCCAGGAGAGCTGCAAGAGCTGATGAGGCTCTTGTTGGGTACCATCACAAAACAGTTATAAAACTGTTGTACAAGAGCCTTCCCCATGAAGTCCCTGTGCTGCTGAGCATCACCACACACTGCAGCGACAGCAGCACTGGAGCGTCTGCCAGCAAGCTCACCCACAGGGTATGCTGCTGGGGTGCTCCAGAACATGGTCAAAGCACGTACCTGCACATTCCTGTTGAGGCTGACTGCAGGGAAAAAGAGGCCCTCCAAGTTCTCAAAGGCAACAGGCCCTTGCTGGTCCTCATTGATGGAGAACGTCAAAGTCCTCCTGGTCAAATCCAGCAGCACTCCCACCGTGGCGCCTTTCGTTATCCCACCCTCGGTTCTGTGGGAGCAAGGAGAAGATCAGAGCATCTCTGTGGCTCAATGTCCCCTGTGCTCCCAGCTCAGGGTTCAGGCCACGATGGACCTCAAGGGCTGATGATGCTGAACTTCACAGCTCACACAGGGGCCAGGCCATGACCAGCACCCATCCCAGCTGGGCACCATCCCTGGGCACCTCCTCCTCCAGCCTCCTGCAAAGGTGCTCTCTGCTTGCAATGATGTCCCTGTGAGGGCAGAGCTGCCTACTGGAGCAGGCACAGCAACACAACCATGGGGAAAGCAAGTGGACCTGGGGAGCAAAGCTGCAGGGCCCCTACAGGCCCTGTTGACCCATCAGGGAATGGCCTCTGAGCCTGCAGGAAGGTGATACCAGGCTCTCCCCAAGCTACTGCAGGCTTCAGAGCCCCCAGCCCTATTGTCCATGGGGAAAGCGAGCAATACCTGTGGCACCGTGGTAAAGGCAAACACTATTCTCTTATTGCATGAGTTGCAAGGCTTTGGTGCTAACGCAAAGAGAGTGCTATACAGGAGTTGTGCCATGCATGCTCAGGGGAAGAGTCAGAATGGAAAGAATTGCTGTAGGCAGGGAAGGAATACTGGAGCAAGGCAGAACCAGGGAGGCAGGACTGTCCTTTGCTTGGGACAAGGGCACATCCTGTAACAGAGGTGATGAGGAGTGATGCCACCCTTCCCATGGGCACCTGTAGGTGCCACTGGAAAAGCTACAGGGTCTTACTTGGGCTGAAGGTGGGCTGTGGTCTCTGGGAGGAAGACCCTGTTCCAGACCACGTACCTGTTGGTGTGCGAATTGTTGTGCATGAACCAGCTCCGATTATTGTCCACGTACATGGCCCAGGCTTTGTCGTCCTTGCCCAGCATGGCATCCTTCAGGACATCAATGCGTGCCACACCAAAGGCCGGGTCAGGGTGGTTATCGTAACGATCGATTGACAGCTCCCAGTAATGGAGCCCTTTGGAAAAGCCCGTTTTCCCCAGCACAACCCTGTCATCATAGCTGTTGCAGGTGACAGTCAGGTTGTCATTAGAAAAGATGATGTCAGCATGGGCAGAGGCAGGATCGAAAGAAAACCAAGCAACTGGAATACACAAACAACATCAGGTTAGTGTGGAGGGAGCAGAGATGTAGGTGGCTGAGCCATAGGGAGCAGACACTGAACAGGGCATGCTGCATGCAGGGCCGACACGGAGGGCGAAGGCTTGGGCTGCTGCCTGCTGATATGGCAGCAAGAAGCAGGCAGGGAGCTGCACAGCGGAGGGGTGCTGGCTCAGGGAGGGCACCTTCCATCACAGAAGGATGCTTTGAGCTTGTGCGGCTGCAGCCTGCCAGAGTGGCTAAGGTCTTATGGCCAGGACACGGTGGGTTTTGTTCTCGCTGATTCCCAGTGCCTGTCTGTCTCCATGCCCTCCCACTGTCTGTGAGCCAACAGGATCCTCATCATCTCCTTAAACTTGGCCCTAGCGGAAAGAGACATGATCCCAGCCAGGTCTCCAGGCTCTAGCTAACATAAACTGACTCTTATGACTAAGGGTTAGCCATGCAAGCAACAGTTTGCGGGGTCAGGCCCACTGTGGGGTAGAGGCTGAGGGACTTTTGACAGGGCATGTAGGGATAAGGCAAGGGGAAATGGCTTTAAACTGACAGAGGGAAGATTTAGATTAGACATTAGGCAGAAGTTCTTCCCTGTGAGGGTGCTGAGGCACTGGCACAGGTTGCTCAGAGAAGCTGTGGTTGCCCCATCCCTGGCAGTGTTCAAGGCCAGGTTGGACACAGGGGCTTGGAGCAACCTGGTCTAGTGGAAGGTGTCCCTGCCTGTGGCAGGGGGGTGGAACTGGATGAGCTTTAAGGTCCCTTCCAACCCAAACCATTCTAGGATTCTATGATTTTACAATTAGCACATAAACTGTGTGTGTATTTGAGGGCTGGCAGTCCTGGGAACGAAAACCACATACGAAGGTCTACACTGACAGAGATGCTATGTCACATCAAGAATCATCCCTGAGGAGCAGCTGGCCACACGTAAGACAAGAGCTAGCTCAGGGGAAAGCTGGAAAATGCAGGAAAACCTCCATGACTTGGTACGGCTGCTGGTTTAAATGCACAGGACTTGGTTACTGCAAATCTGACAGATACAGTGTCACGTCCTGGACAAGACAGAGGCACAGGGTTTCACAAGCCACCAGCCCGGTTCCCTAGGTGGTTTTCTCCAGCGGTCACTGAAACGTGAACTGACACATCCACAAAACACTCTTACGGCTGCAGGAGTAAATACGGCTTGAAAAATGAAACACTCTGGTGAGACTGATTCATTGGTTTATTGGATCGTTTCACAGGACAGCTCACATGCACGCGGGTGCCCCACTTCTGCAACTCGACAGAGGTGATTCCGTACCTGCCACCATTTTTTTAATGTCAACTGTGGTCATTCCCAAGGACAGGCATGCAGGAGAGAAAACAGCACATAAAGGTGGGTAAAGAAAGGAGCCAGAAAATCTCTGTTTGCCTGCTTTGCACGGACCTGTCAGTGCTTTGCATGAATGGGGGCAGAGATTGAGGGAGGGTGGGCTCAGGCTGCGCTGAACTGCCCAAGGTAGCAGTCCTGTAGGGCGGGACATGGGACTGAATTCCCAGGGGAATGAACATGCAGGCAGTCTGACAGGGACAGGCGAGTGGCTACCACCAGCTTGCTCCAATTAGCTGCAGAGGAGCTTTCACCTCCTTGGCATTTGGCCTGCGTTCAAGCACCCTTAATGAACTGAAATACATATTGCTTTGAGCAGGATGAGCAGTTCTTAATTACAGGGCTGCATCCAGAGCACTGACTTCAGGCTTTACTTTAAAACTGCATGGGGGAAAACTTAAAAGGCCTTTATATTGTATGGCAATCATCATTCCTCCTCCAAATTTGCCTACTGCCATGACATCCAAGGGCACTGTGCAAGTAGGGTGTGCGCAAGAAATGCTGCTCAGTCACCAAAGGAAAGTTAAATATCAAACAGGAAAAAAGGACGAGCAATATGGAGTAGGTACCAGTTAATTGTAATAAATATACTTGCCTAATTGAGAGTAAGGCGTTCCTTGAATGTCAAAATTGCATCCTATAAAGAGATACTACATTTCACACATCACAGCTAAGAAACAACAACCGTCTAACAAACCACCCGTGAGCATTTAACCATTAAGTAAGCATCCAGCCAGCCACAGGAGGCCTGATTCATTAAAAGCTAGAGAGCATGGAAAGGGTCACAAATGCAACCGGTGAGTTTGAGTGTGGACTGTTGGCTGTTTTGTTGAGTCTCACCTCTGGGAAGTGTGGAGTTTTGTTTTTTCATTGCCAAATCCCATCACAGCCATCATGAGCATCAAGTCCTGGTTGCCAACTGCCCAGGATGCCAAATCATTGGACGTTCCTCCAGAAAAGAGGCAGGAAATTTTAGCCTTGGTAAATATTCTCTACATTGACTCTCAGTTGAATCACTTAAAAAACAGTCCTTGGAGGACAGGGACTGATGAAAGAAGAGCAGCCACTGGTGTGTTCAGTGAATAGGGACCACCAAGGTCTCCCAGGCTGCCTCCTCTGCTGTATGTGTGGCCTGGGCAGAAGTAGAGCAGGGGAGGGGGTCTCCAGGGGCTGCAGACCCCTGATAGCACCCAGTGGGCACTGGGCTGTAGCTTCAACTGGAGCTGCGCAGGCAGGATGTGTTGGGGTGCCCTTCATCCTCCTGTGACTGGGCTGTGCCTGACCCCTGGCTGCAAGCACCTCCTGGGAGCCACAGACTTATCCAGGAGCTTGTCCTAGCAAGGAGAAGTAGCCAACACGAATCCCCACGTTGGCACTGCATGGGAGGGCATTCATGTATTTTAAGGATTCCCCTGTGGGGAAGCATCTGGCTGCAGTTGTGTGCCCTGCCATGCTGCTGGTGAGTGCCAAGCAGCACCACCAGAGGTTGTTTTAATGAATCGAGCCCCGTGCCCCTATTCAAAATGTCTTTTCAAGGTCTCTGTGCATCGCTGTGATACAATTTCACCTGAGCGCGAAACAGCACGGACACACGGGCACGTTCAGAACACCACCACCCCAGAACATGGCTGCAGAGGTCCTTACTGCACACACAAGTATTACTCATGGCCATCGCAGTGGATCTCGGTACACTGGACACAAAGTAAGAACTGTCCGTAACAAAACAGAGTTGAAGCCATTAGCGCACAGCAGTACGATGCGGAAATAAACATAAAAAGCACAAAGAAAAGAAAGTTGCAGGGTCCCAGGTTATTCTGGCAAGGGTCATGCTGCGGCATTCCTCATTCCGGGTTAAAGGATGGAAATCAATCAGGGGCCCCCATTCTTCCTGGGCTTACACCAGAGGAAGCCATGAATTAACTCCACTGGAGCCCATGGAGTGGTGTAAATCCAGACTGGTGGAAGAATCGGGGCCCAGGATCTTTAGCAACGGAAGGTGTGCAAAGACTGGTTAGAAAGCAGCTCAGAGATGCTCTGTGCCTGTGGCTCCTTCACTGGCTGCCTGATACCGTCACTCATCCTGCCTGTACTGCCTACGTCCCACCACAGCCCTTGCGGACTGGGCGCAAGGAGGCAAGCAAAATGCTTGTGAGTGCTGCCAGATGAGCAAGGGTTCACCGGAGTGGTTTCCTCTGCTCTGCAGAATACAGGAGTTCGATACGATCCCGTCTGGTTTTGCACAAGCTGAGCCCAGTGCTCAAATCTGAGTGGACAAGAGCCCACATCTTCCAGGTTCTTAAGCAGCCAGACTGCAAGGGATCTGTGACCTTGCTTCCATCTAGACTTAATTCTTTCTTAAGAAAGGTCTAGATTTAATTGAGCAAACATTTCATAAAACAAATCTCACAGCAGAGGCTGCATTTCCTGGTTGTATAGGGAAAGCAAACCATCAAGATGTCCTCACAGGTTTCTCCCAGGGAGAGTCTGTTCTTGTGACTGTCCTTGGACACAAGATCAACGTAAACTAGAGATGGGTGATGTGCTCTGCTGGCTGGCTGTGCAAATGGCCCAGCCAGGCTGGCCCTGCCAAGAACAGCACCCAAGTAAGGAGTTACTGTGCTGCTCCATCACCCCACACCTACCCATGCTGGTATGTACAGATGAAAACACCACAAGAACTCCCTCTGTGGCAGAAGCAGGCCACTGACAAAAGGAAGGAGCTTCCCCTGCTATCCGCATGTCATGGGAAAAACAAACACAACGGAACAAAACAAACAAATACTTTGGAGATGCCCAGAAGCACAGACCAAGAGGAAATGCCAGAGGCACTCAGCTCACCAGCTGAATTCAGGGACTGTAAAGAAGAATGCAAGCTCAGCTGGTGGGCCGAAGATCTTAGCTCAAAGTAGGATCTCCCCGGAAAGCTGGGTTGTAGATTAAGGGTGGAGGAGAAAGGACTCATTCTACGAAGCTGCGATCTTTCCAAAGGCACTGGAAAAGGGAGGGTCTGTTCTTCTGACTGCGTGTCTAAACGTAAGATCAATGCAAACTAGAGATCAGAAATGGGATCTGCTGGGTAGTGTCACTCCATTGCCCGAGACCAGACCTCAGACCAGAGCACAGACGCTTCGGCACGCACGGACCCTGCTCTGCTGCAGCGAGCGTGCGTATGGTGTGTGGAGCAGGAACGTCTGGTGCTGTGCAACCCAGCGAGACCCTTCAGGAAAGCCTTGCCTCTGACAGTATCAGCAATAAACAGACTTTCATCTTCCAAAATGGTCCCATGCCATCAAATTCAATATGCTTGTCTGTAAAAGTGAGTCCTGCACCTCTTCACAGTAATGCACCTAAAAAAATTCACAAGTTACCATGCACACTTCCCATTGTGCTTTAACACATCTCATACCTTTTTGTGCACAATTATTAGTGGAGTAAAAAGTAGTCACTTGGTAATGCTGAAAGGCATTTTTGCAGGGCTGTGCTAAGCTGTATTACCCTAAGTACCACCAAGCACCCACCTTACTCAAAGGTTGTTCGGGATGTTGTGTTCTTGGTATCCCTTTGTACCTGTCAAAACACATCTGAGCCTTACAGTAAGAATTTAACTCACGTGATTCACAGCACAATGTCAGAGTAGAGGCAATCTCTTGGGTCATGGTTTTCTGTTCCCCACTACCATGAACAGTTACCTCCTGCAATCTCTTCCCTAGCCTTGTCAAGGAATATGTGAACATGGAAATGTAGAATCCACCATCCTCTATACATGTGAATCAGATAAACTCACAAACGTTATGTCCCCAGCCTTCGTGTCTCAGCTGTGAATATGAATTGAGCTAGAAATCATGTTAAAACAAATAAAAGGAAGCATTTCTTTGCACACTGGGTTTTAACTTCTGCAATGAGCTGCTGCATGAGGCTGTGGAAGCAAAGAGTGTCAGTGGGTTCATAAAGGTTAGATAAATTATTGCACAACAGGTCAATAAACGGAGCTCAAGGTTAGGGAGGAACATACCCTCTAACCAAGAGTAAGAGAAACTACTACCAAGAGTAGCCATGCTCATGGCTCTCCCTACCTAGCATCTTATGTTCCTATAGATCCCTGCAGACTGTTTTCCCTTCTGTTGTTCACCCCTTTCCAAAAGCTGCTGGTTAAAAAGACCTGGTTGCTGCTGAGGATCACTCCATGGCTGGTAAGGAACTTAAAGTTGAGCCTCAGATGAGGAACTGGGCTTGAAAGAAGAGCAAAGTTTCTGGTGCTCAACTAGGCTGGGGACGGGCTCTCAGACTGGGGTACTCCAACTCCTCTGCCACATCCCCATGGTGGCAGAGCTGGCTGGGAGCAGATGCTTGTGGCGCTGGCAGAGTTGCCAGAGTCTGGGAACCCAAGAAAGGGGATGGCAGGGCACAGGATGTGACAAGGCACATGTTCCTCCCTGACCCTCTGCTCCTGGCTTGTCTCTCACACAAGCCAAAACCAGGCTTGCCTTGAAACTCTGCAGTTATGTCTAAAGTTGGAGACTCAGCATTTGAGAGAAGGCAGAGCCTCAGCTCTTCCCCTGCTGCCTGGCTGCAGGCAGCACATGCCCAGGAGAGCGTGGCTGAAGGCACCAAGCAGCCAAATGGAAGGGCCAACCTGTGGGGAAAGGTGAGAACGGAGCAGCAGGTTTCGGCAGGAGGGAGGTCAAACCCCTGCACCAGCCAGGAGTGCAGATCTGGGCCTGGGGAGCAGGCAGGGACGGTCCCCTCCAGCACTACTGAGCTCCTCTTCTCCATCTCCACCGGGGTGACTTGGTCCTTCATTCCCCCATCCAGCTTGCCGGACAGCCCATGGTAAAACACAACACTGGAGGGATGCAGAAACCATCTCAGAAATCTCTGTAGAGAAAAGCAGCCCAGCAGCCAGCCCTCCTGCAGACCCTGATCCCACTGCAACTGGGAGTCATCTCTGTTCCTTGTCACAGCCCATTAGGTGCCTGTTCCTAGGGTGGCTGTTTGCAACCCACCAAGACCAGCAGACCAGAGCCAGGGGCTTCTGCAAAGCCTTTCAGAGGCTGCTCTTACAGCAGCCAAAAATGCACCAAGCAAGCACTGGGTAGGCTGAAAATGGGAACATGCCAGGAGGAAAACAGACTGTGCCCCACAGTCAGCAGGAGACTGCGCAGAGGCTGGAACATCTGCTGGATGAGGAAAGACAAGACACCTGGGGCTGCCCAGGGAGGAGGAGCTGGAGGAAGACCTGGGGTCTCCTAGGGGTGATCACAGCCAAGCAATGCTGCCTCTGGCCAAGCTTTGTAAAGTGTCTGGGCCTTGGCACAGCGTCACCTTGAAAACCATCTTCCAGACTCATTTCCAAGCCTACAGATGAACTCCATTCAGGTGCTGAAGAAACAGTGAGGTTAAGCCAGGCCCCACGTCCCAGTGCTTGCAGTGATGGGTCCTGGGGAACTGGCTAAGACATGACAGGGCAAGAGATACTGGTAAGGCTGCAGTGGAACAGCCTGACATCAGCTAGGGAGAGGACACAGTTCAAGGTAAGGACCGCTGCCTTCAGCCCTTGCTGCCATGTGGCTGTGATGATGATGAAGATCTTCATCCCAGAGGGCCCAGAACATGAGAAGGGATCCAGGACACAGACCTTCTCCCAGGTAGGAGCCATCTTGCTCTGATGCCAGCACCAAGCACCATCCTTGAAGACTGAACTGCAGTTTCCTCAGCTGGAATATGTAGTTTCCTGTCAGATGAGCAGGAGAAGATGTGCTGGGAAGGTGCTCTGTGCCTTGCTGTAAGCCTGTGTGTGCGCTGGCTTCCCATGAGACATTCCTGTGGGACATTCCCGTCAGTGCTGCCTGGCTCACCTTGACCGTTTGGCTGGGCAGGACCACAGAAGAAGGCCTGCAGAAGCCCAGACACAATTTTATCCTCTTCTTATCCTTGTTCTCTTCAGATGCTGAGACCCTGCAGGACGTTTCACTCCCCGCTAGCCTCTACAGCCCATTTCACTGCTCACTAAAGGCAGAAGAAAGACTTCAGTTAAATACCACAGGCTGCAGATAAGGATCTTGTGTGCTAGGACTAGAAGCCAGCTTTGAAGTAGCACCCTCTAAGCAGAATTTCTTATAACCACTTCACAGCAGGACAGCCATGCTCACAGAGATGTTCTCTTCATACCGAGACCACTTCTTCTTTTGTCTTCCTGCATGAACACTTTGCAGGAAGCTGAAGAGCATGGCTGAAGGGAAAAGCTAAGCCTGCTTCTGACAAAACAGCATTTAAAGGCCTGATGCTACTGTGAAGGCCAGAAACAAGAGCTGCGATGCATGTGGTGGCTCTGTTTAGCAAGTCACTTGAATATGCTCAAGATGCACATAAATGTAATGTATTTAACTTTGAGTCCAAACAGCTTAGGTGGCCTCAAAGAGCAGAAAATGCTCCAGGCCCATTTGTCTTTTTCTCCTTCTTTCTTTAGTGCTGGAATAACAAATGCAAAAGCCCATGCAGTGAAAAGGCTGAATGCAGCAAACTTTCATCTTATACTCAGAAGAGTGAAACTTTTGTTTGCTGGCAGAGACCAAGGCATCAGCTCCAAGCACAGCCTGGCCTGCTGGAACCATGAACACTTATTTTCTCCCAGGCTCTGTCGTGTTTTGGAACTGTGTAATAGGCGAGCTTGGCTTGACAGTGAAAACACCTGTGAGAGGAAAGCAGAGCTGGAAAGATCACAGTTGGGACCCTGAAACTCCTGGCTGGGACAACCTCAAGCCTAACTGGTTTTGGTTAGGAAACTGTGTCTCACATGGATCTAATGAGACACAAACATGATGAGAAGCCAAAGCTCTGCTGCCTCCTGCAAAGGCTGGTGAAGCAGGGTAGTGAAGTGGGTAAGAACTGCTGACCTTCAGGCTTTGGGAGAGGTCCTGGCCACGCCAGTGTGGTGCTGGATCTGGGCTGTCCTGTCCCTGGATGTCCAGAGGAACACTGCAGCTTCCTTGACGCTGGTCCTCAGCTTTGCAAACACACACAGAGCTCAGACATGCCAAGGCCTTTGTGGCCTGTGATTTGAGTTTTCTGTCTCTTGTATGAGAAGGTTTGTCACAGGTTTTCTATCCACCTTGCATCTCTTACAGGTGAGTCCCATTCCATGCTGACCTGTCCTGCCCATGCACATCCTGCCCTTTCCAAACTGGAATGGTTATCTCCTGCAGATGAGTGCAGGCAAGCAAGTGACAATGCTCTGTGTAGCCTTCTTCTGCTTTCATCTTCTATTCTTTCAGCAGAAACCCCTTTTTTCTCCTTGCCCAAAGCCACCAGATATGCTCTGTGGCAAGAAGGCTCTCACCTTCCTTCCACCCCACCAGCAGCCCCACAAGCTGTGTGTTCCCCCCTGGCCCCAGAATGCATCTGCCAGCAGCTGCTGGGGCTGCAAGAACATGCTGCTGCTCTGGAGCCAGCTGCCACCAGATCTGGTGATGCTGCTGTGATCCACAATATTCACACGGCTTGAAAAGAGAGATTTTAGCCTGGGAGTAAGGAAAAAGGATTCCATCAAGTGTGGAAAACTCCCAAGGAGAGGTTTCTTGCCTGGCAGCAAGGCCACAGGGCAGCAGACATGCTGGTGGGGGCTGGATCCTTCCTTCACAGCTGCATCTGTCTCCCATCTTGTCTTGAAGCCAGCCTTAGGATTCTCCTCCTGCGTGTCAGAAGCAAGCCAATTTTCCGAGATGGATTAAGTGCCTGGTGTGACAAATGTACTTAAAGTAAGGCAGGGAGACTCCTCTGTAACCTGCAAGGGAGTGTTCAATATTCTGACTGCCTGCAGTGCAGGGTGATGCAGACGATGCTGGCAGGGCTGTGCACCCCATGTGAGCAAGGACACCAATGTGCTCCATGGCCCCTCTGCTCTCTGTTGTCCACTGCCAGGGGCTAAAGGAGACATAGTGTGGTTAAGGGACTGTGCAGCCACACACAGCCCCTAGTGTTCCAGGAGCAACGTGACAGCGTTTTGTTTTAAATGGAATTACTGTAAACATCTGAGCTTCCCTTTGTGTAATACAAGGCCTGCTACACACAGATTTTAAACACCTCTCTGCAGGATGCCTTTCTCTGTAGCTCTCCAAAGCACATCTTCTGTAAAGGAAAGGGGTGAGGGACAAGTTCTGGCACTGTCCAAGGCTCCTGACACAACCTTTCCCCTCCCATCGGTGCTGGCTTTCCTTTCCTGCAGCGATTGCTTAGGTACTGGAGGACCAGCAGAGCAGTTCCTTGTATTGCAATGCTAAGCTTAGGTGTGCTGGATGGGCCCCATGCGTGCGTGTGAGCAGTGTCCGAGCGCGCTGGGCTGGAGCTGTTGCAATGCCTTACCCTCAGATGTCTGGAGGACCAGGGTCTTGCTGTAT